AGACAGCTGGCGACTATGAAAGTATATATATATATATATATATATATATATGTTTGCTGTTTCTTATCTCTTGTGCTGCTTGTTTGCTGTCTCTTCATTTATTTTAAAGCACCAAAGAGGCAGCAGCAAGGAAGCAGCAGCAGCAAGGAGACACCAGTAGCACGACAGCAGCAAGGAGACAGCAACGGGGAGGCCGCAGCAAGGAGACAGCAGCAAGACGGCAGCAGCACGGAGACAGCAGCACGGAGACTGCAGCGAGAAGCTAGAAGTAGTTATACTGCAGCAGGAGAACAGCAGCAAGAAGACAGCAGCAAGGAGATAGCAGCAGAAAGACAGCAGCAGGAAGGCAGCAGCAGGAAGGCAGCAGCAGGAAGGCAGCAGCAGGAAGGCAGCAGCAAGAATATAACAGCAAGGAGACAGCAGCAATTATACAGCAGCAAGGAGACAGCAACAGGAGGACAGCAGCAAAAATACAGCAGAAATGATACAGCAGCAATGATACAGCAGCAAGAAGACAGCAGCAAGAAGGCAGCAGCAAGGGGACAGCAGCAAGGGGACAGCAGCAAGGGGACAGCTGCGAGGAGACAGCAGCACGAAGGCAGCAGCAAGGAGACCATCGAAGCCTCAACAAAACCATAGCAGTAGTACGACTTTTAAATATCTTTTTTATTTTAATAAACAATAATAAAAACAAAACAAATAAGTTTAATTGTTGCAGTTGTTCAAGTGCTGCTGCTCGCGGGGACTGTCTCTGCAGCGGGCGGCGATCGTTCGGGCCGCCGCTCCGTGCTGCTGCTGCTGCTGCTGCTGCTGCTGCTGCTGCTGTTGCTGCTTCTGCTCACGTAAGAAAAAGTTTTTTTGTTTTCTATGATCATAGATTTTTACGATTTTTTATTTTAGGGCTTCAGCGGCAGCAGCTGCTGCTCGCGCAGCCAGCTGTCTCTCCAGTGCAGCTGACCGCAGCACCGGACCACCGGTAGCAGCAGCAGCAGTAGCAGCAGCAACAGCAGCAGCAGCAGCAGCTTGTGCTCCTGGGAGAGGGTATTTTGTACAGCATACCCTTTGAGGGCTGCGGAGACAGCAGGGCCCTTCAGCAAAGCCCCAGGGAAGCAAAGGAGACGCCTTCTTGTGTCTTGTGATTGACAAAGTGTCTCCTTTGCTGCAGCAGCAGCAGCAGCAGCAGCAGCAGCAGCAGCAGCAAGAGAGAAACAATGGAGCTGCTGCACTTGCTAGTGTTTTGTTTACCGGGCTTGTTAGCCCTAGACGGCTATTCTTCTTCTTCTAGCAGCAGTTTGTTATTTGCTGCTGCTGCTGCTGCTGCACCTGGAGGAGACGGTTATACATCAGGAGATATTACAGAAGGCTATACAACAGACGACGGAGTTCTCTCTTCTGCTGCTGCTGCTGCTGGGTCTTCGCGAGCACCACCTAAACGGAAACGAAGAAGACGACGAAAGAGGCTAAGAGATCTGCTTAAAGGCGCAAAGAATAGCATTACGAAGCCTCTTAAAACTTTAGGCGAGAGAAGAAGAAGAAGAAGAAGACGAAGAAGACAAAAAGAAGAAGGGACTCTAACTGGGTATAAGAAGATAGGGTCTCCAGGGGGCCCCTTACCTTCAGAAGAAGCTGCTGCAGCTGATGCTATTGTCGGTGCTGCTGCTACTGCTGCTGCAACAAACAAACACTCTATCGGCGACTCTTCAGATGCGTCGGGAGAAGAGACTACAGCAGCAGAGACATCAGACGATGAGAGCCGGCAAAGCCGTCGGCCTACCCTCCTCGCATCTGTCCGTGTCCACCAAGGAGACAGTGGAGAAACCGAGGAGCAGCAGCAGCAGCAGCAGCAGCAGCAGCAGCAGCAGCAGCAGCAGCAGCAGCAGCATGGAGATGATCACCAAGAGCAGCCGCATCATCAGCAGCAGCAGCCGCAGCCGCCGCCGCCGCCGCCGCCGCACCATCAACCTCATGAAGAAAGCCACGAAGGGCAGCAGCAGCATGGAGAGGAAGGGCAGCATCAAGGGCAGCAAGGGACAGAGCAGCAGCATCAGCAGCAGCAGCAACAGCATCCTGGAGGTCACCCCCAAGTGCATCAGCCGCAGCAACAACAGCAAGATCATGATGATGCGGACGGGCACCCGCAACAGCAGCAAGAGCAGCAGCAGCAGCATCAGCAGCAGCAGCCACCACATCCCGCTCCACGCCGACGCTTTGGTAGTTCGAGGCAGAGCCTTCCTACTATAACAGAAGCAGATGAAAAACAAAGTGATGAAGAGACAACAACAAGCAAAACTCAGGGCGAACGGCAACGCCCGATACCAGCCCCTCGCACTTTTCCGCCGCATAGATCTGGAGCTGGAGGTGAGCAGCAGCAGCAGCAGCAGCAGCAGCAGCAGCAGCAAGAGCAGCAAGAGCAGCAGCAGCAGCAGCAGCAAGAGCAGCAAGAGCAGCATCGCGGTTCAGCTGAGCATACACCTGAACCCCACAGTGGTGATGCAGACCATAATAAATCTGATGATTCACATCCACATACACCCGAACACCAGCCAGCAGATGCACATACACCTGCACATCCGCCTATACCTAGACCCCGCACTCGTTCGCTTCCTACTCAGAGACCTACACCTAAACCTCGTACTAAACTACCACCTCCAAAGTAATGCAGACAAAATAAGAAAATACAAAGAAACAGGCTCAGCAGCAGCAGCTGCGGCAACTGCTGCTGCTGCTGCTGCTGCACGCCACAGCTTGCGTTTTGCATATATGTTCAGCTGCGAGCAGCTGTTTAAGCCTAAGGGAAGGCTGCTAGAGGTTTTGAAAGGGTTTTGGGTTTAGGGTTAGAAGAAAATAACGCAAAGCTGCATATAACCCCTCTGCTGCAGCAACTGCTGCTGCTGCTGCTGCTACTACTACTACTACTGCAGCACAGCAGCACCTGTAACAACTGTATGCCGCAGCTAACGAACTGCAGCATCTGCTGCAGCCTACAAACTGCAGCAGCTGCAGCAGCAGGCTCATGGAAACAGGCGCTTGGGGTCCCTGGGGAAGAGAGAGACGCGGCGAATGTTGCCCAGACCTGCAGCAAAAGCATACACCGAAGACAGCGCTTTGCGGTTGCTGCTGCTGCTCACTACCAGCAGCAGCAGCAGCAGCAGCAGCAGCAACAGCAGCAACACCATAGTCATCACCAGCATCATGTCGCAGCAGCACCAGCAGAAACAACAGTAGCAGCAGCAAAAACAACGACAGCAGCAACAACCGCAGCAGCAGCAGCAGCAGCAGCAACAACTACAACTACAGCAGCAACAACCGCAGCAGCAGCAGCAAAAGGAGACAAACCAAAGTAAAGCATGACGATTCTTTCTAGCCCCGCTCCCATGCCTGCATGCGGTGGGGCCCCCAACTCAAGGGCTTTGATGTAGCTGCGCAGCTGCTGCACATCGATACCTCTCTTGCTGCAGCACTGCTTCAGCAACTCAGCGTCGTGCAGCCGCTGAGCGCCCGATGCAATCTCTTCACCCCTCATAAACACATCAAAGGTATTAGAAAACCTCTGTAGTCATAAACATAATAAACATAATAAACATAATAATATATATTAAATTAAACTTAATAATGTAGAGCCGCATGCACAGTATACAGGCCGAAGAAATGCACTTTTCATTTGTCTCGCTTTTTTTTGATTAAAACAAACAAACAAATAAACCAATTTTAAAATAAACAAATACACAAACAATCAGCTAGCTAGCTAGCTAGCTAGCTAGCTAGCTAGCTAAGCCGTCCTCATGAAAGAAGGGTACACGCAGTTCGAAGGCAGCTAGAGTGTTAGCCTCATCAGCTAGCTAGATAGCTGAGTGCCTAGCTAGTTAAATAGATAGCTATCTAGCTAGCCTGATACTCCGCTAGCTACACATAGCCTACTAGCCGGCTACTCAGCTAGCTAGTCACCCAGCTAACTAGCTCGCTCGCTAGCTAGCTAGCTAGCCGAGTAACTGGCTAGCTATCTAGGTAGCTAGCAAGCTAGCTGAGTAGCTAGCAAGCTAGGTATCCAGCTAAGTAGCTATCAAGCTAACTACCTAGTTAGCTAGCTAGCTAGCTAGCTAGGTAGTTAGCTAGCTAACTGGTTTGCTTACGGGGTCGTCGGGGCAAGGCATAGAGTAGAAGGGGCGAACAGCAGTTGGATATCGAAGGAGAATATAAAAGTCTGTGTTATATTTCTTTTTGACAAGAGCCCCTAGAGCTTTCTCTAATTCAGTTGAAAGATCAAAGTTCGAGATGTCCTCTGGGATCGTCTCCAAACCGATCCCAGCTTCACGCAGCATCGCCACCCCCTCAGCAAAAGTCAAACGAGGTGTCTCCTCTAAAAATTCAAACGGAGGCACGTCGTGCTGAGCGCGAATAATAGCAGACTCCTGCAGCAGCAGCAGCAGAAGCAGCAGCAGCAGCGATGCAGTGAAGCAGCTGCAGCGAAGCGGCAGCTAAACTGCAGCAACTGTGCATTCAAACGCAGATGCAGCAGCAGCAAATCCAAGCCCAACAGAAACGCATGCAGCAGCAGCAAATGCAGCAGCAGAGGTAGCAGATGCAGGAGCAGAGGTAGGAGATGCAGGAGCAGAGGTAGGAGATGCAGCAGCAGCAAGTGCAGGAGCAGCATGCATGCATGCAAAGGTAATAAATGAATACCTTCGTGAAGTCAGTCTCGAGCTTCTTGAAAAGATACTTGAACATATTATCAATAAGATCAACAGCCTCTATATAAGTTTCTTTGATTTCCATCTCTAAGTCTACCCCAACAAATTCGCATAAATGACGGTGCGTGTTGCTGTTCTCCGCACGAAACACTGGACCTGCAGCAGCAGCAGCAGCAGCAGCAGCAGCAGGTTATAGAAGTTGTTACTGTAGCAGCAGCAGCACCAGTAGTAGCAGCGGCAGCTGTAGTTGTTGTAGTAGTAGCAGCAGCAGCAGCAGGCGCAGCAGATGGAGGTGTTGTTGTTGTAGCAGCAGCAACAACCGAAGCAGCAGGTGTTGTAGTTGTAGTTGTAGTAGAAGTAGCAGCAGCAGCAACAGATATAGAGGCAGACGCGGCGAGAAAAAACAGCAGCAGGCCCAACAGCAGCAGCAGCATAAACAGCAGCGGCAACCGCATGAACAGCAGCAGCATCAGCATGAACAGCAGCGGCAACCGCATGAACAGCAGCAGCATCAGCATGAACAGCAGCAGCAACCGCATGAACATCAGCAGCAACCGCATGAACAGCAGCAGCAACCGCATGAACAGCAGCAGCAGCAAGAACAGCAGCAGCAGCAGCAGCAGGAGCAGCAGATGATACCGATTTCGAATACGCGTTTCATATCCCCTGCTATGCACATTTGTTTGTAGAGCTGCGGGCTTTGAGCAAGACATGCAGGTTGGTTGAAGTAGTTGAGTTCAAAGCAGAAAGCCCCGCCTTCAGAAGCACCTCCGAGGATTTTAGGTGTATGAATCTCAATGCATTTCTCATGAAGAAGATAATCTCTGAGGTGCCTAGACACCTCAGATACTGCGCATGCAACAGCAAACGTCCCCGCAACTCGCAGATCCAACCAACGATGCTCCAAACGCGTATCCAAATGAACGCGAATCTGTCCCTGCAGCAGCAAATGCAGCAGCAAATGCAGCAGCAAATGAAGCAGCAAATGAAGCAGCAAATGAAGCAGCAAATGAAGCAGAAAATGCAAACGGAGCAGCAAGAGCAAATGCAGCAGAAGGAAAATGCAGCACCAGCAAATGCAGCAGCAGCAGTAGCAACAATAGCATGAGTAGCAGCAGCAGCAGCAGTATGAGCAGCAGCAGCAGTATGAGCAGCAGTAGCAGCAATAGCATGAGTAGCAGCAGCAGCAGCAGTATGAGCAGCAGCAGCAGCAACATGAGCTGGCTTCCGTTTCTCTAATCCTAAAAGCAAATTCAGGCGGCAACGCGCAACAGCAACAGCAGCAATAACAGCAGCAGCAACAACAGCAGCGACAACAGCAGTAACAGCATGAACAACAGCCGCAGCAACAGCAGCAGCAGGAGGAGGCAACTGACTTGTGCTTCATTATCATTATCTGGTTGCATCGCATCTCTAATCCTGAAGGGAAGCTCAGGAGGGGCGCGGACAACGCAGAAAACCTTCTCTGCATGCAGCTCATGCTGCTGCGAGACCCCTACTAAAGGTGCAGCAGCAGCAGCAACAACACCAAAGACATCTATTAAAGACTCTACTGGGACCCCCTCCAGCCACTTCAATAAAGGCCGAGGTAAAGAAGAAGAAAAAACTATCTGTGCTGTCTCCAGACCTTCTCGTAATACTGCAAATGCTAGAGACCCTACAAACAAAACAAATAAAATATTTATAAATATATTATAATATTTATTTATTTATTTATTTATTTTAATTATTTATTTATTTTATTTGTTTGTTCAGTTATATATATATATATATATATATAGTCAACGGGTTAATATATATATAAAATAAATTATAAAACAAATAATTAATAGTAAACACCGTAAAATATATAAAATAATAATAAATAAATAAAACAAATAAAATAAAATAAAATAAATGCACTTAAAAATATAATAATATAAATAATATAACAAAATATATCATGTAAAAGCAAAACAATTTAGTAGAAATAAAAATTTAATACAAATATATAAATTGAATACAGCAAAAAAACAAAAATGCAGCACAAAACAAAATAAAAATAAAACAACAAATTAAATTAAATTAAATTAAATTAAAGGCAAACAAAATAAAACAATAAAACAAACAAACAATTGATGATATCTCCCACTAGCAGCAGCAGCAAACACAGCAGCAGCAGCAGCAAGAAACAGCAGCAGCAGCAAGAACAGCAGCACCAGCAGCAAATACAGCAGCACCAGCAGCAAAAATAGCACCAGCAAGGAACAGCAGCAGTAGCAAGAAACAGCAGCAGCAGTAGCACGAAACAGCAGCAGCAGCAGCAGGTAACAGCAGCAGCAGCAGGTGACAGCAGCAGCAGCAGCAGCAGCAGCAGCAGGCTGGGGTGTATGTAGGACCTTTTGAGCGGCAGTCTTGGAGTCTCCCCCTAACCCAAACCTTTTCACCTTCCTTCTCTTTTAGCTGCCCTACTGCAACAAACTGTCTCCTTTTGCTGCTGCTGCTGTTCATCAGAGGGAAATAACCGAAGCTGCTGCTCTCCCAGTCCTCAGCAACAACATTTTGTGCTGCTCGCGCCTCCTCTGCATCCACGCCCAAACCCTAAACCCTAAACCCTAAACCCTAAACCCTAAACCCTTTAATAAGCCGATTGAAAGGGTTTACTAGGGTTTAGGGTTTCTTACCCATCGCCTTCTTCCTGTTGAGTTTTGCTGCTTCTTTTGCTGCCTTCTCTGCTTCCTTCGCCTTCTTTCTCGCTTCTCGCTGAGCCTTTAACTCCTGGTCCTCAGGAGACACCTGCTGCTGCTGCTGCTGCTGCTGTCCCTCGCCAGAAGCAGGGGAAGGAGAGGAGTCCTCGCGCTTCATTTTGCTCAGCCAGCTGCTGCTTTGCTGTCCACCTGTTGCTGTTGCTGCTGCTGCTGTTATTTCACGATAGCGAAAGCTGGGCCTGCTGCTGCTGCTGTTGCTGCTGCTGTTGTTGCTGCTGCTGAAGGGGACGACCTTCCTGGGCACGAGCAGCAAAGGGCTGCTTAACTGCTGCTGCTGCGGCCTCAGGAGAGGTGAGCAGAGTAAACGGTGGCTCCTTCTAAGGCAGTGCGCTCCAAAGGGCATCAACTGCAGCAGCAGCAGCAGCAGCAGCAGCAATAGCAGGTGCTGCAGCGGAGAGGATTTACGCGGCAACCCACTATAGGGCGGGCACCCCACACACAGCATCCGTAGCTGCAGCAGCAGCACAGCCCCAAAACAGCGGCAGCAGGTAGGAGCAGCAGCAGCAACGGCACTGATGAAGGACTCGTCCTAGACGCATGCAACCCTGCAGCAGCAGCGCGAACACCAGCAGCAGCAGCAGCAACAGCAGCAGCAGCAGCAGCAGTAGGCAGTGGAGTTATGCAGCTTGTCAGTGACTACGCGTTCCCAGTTAGCCGCTTATGAGACAAACTCTGTGCATGCAGTGCAGCAGCTGCAACAACAGCAGCAGCAGCAGCAACAACAGTAACAACAGCAGCAACAGCAGCAAACACCAAGAACGCCTGTGTACCTTATATGTTCCCTTGTATCTCCTAACTGAGAAAGAAGAATCAATCTATGTCTTCTTCATCTATAGACGTTGGGCACAGAAGCCCCACCCTTGCAATTCCCGCTGCGGCAGCAGCAGCAGCAGCAGCAGCTGCAGCAGCAGCAGCAGCGGAGCTGGCTTAGGCCCACCAGGGCCTCTTGCGATTTTTTCTTCTTTATTCTCAGCCCTTCTGCCTTGTTTATTGTACAACAGTTTTAAAATTTTCTCAATCCAGCTAAAGGCAGCAGCAGCAGCAGCAGCACAGCAGCAGCAGCAGCAGCAACCGGTGTTGCAGGTGTTGCTGCTGCTGCTGCTGCAGAGTGATCGGGGCTGCGGCAGGAGAGCAGCGGCACCCAGAGCAGCAGCTGCAGCAAGGTTTGGAGGCCTGCAGCAGGGATCAGCAGCAGCATAAGTAAGGGGTTTTTCAAAGCAATATACTGAGCGTCTTGCTGCTGCATTTGTTCAACCCAGCAGCAGCAGCAGCAGCAGCAAGCCGCAGCAGCAGCTGCAGCTGCTGCAGCAAGACCGGCAAAGCATCCAGCAATCGCATATTATATTGGCGGACCATCACAGGGCTGCCTTTCTTATTTGTAGGGGTATCAGCGACAACAAGAGCAGCTGGAGCTGCAAGAGCAGCAGCAGCAGCGGCAGCAGCAGCAGCAGCAGCAGCGGCAGCAACTTCAGCAGCAGCAGGACACCACACAAAAGTGACCAGGCTGCTGCAGCATTGCTGCTAGATGGCCCCGTGTGGCTGCTCGCTCTGTGAGGCTGTGGGTTCCATCGCAGCAGCAGCAGCAGCAGCAACAGCAACGGCAGCAGCAGCAACAGCAGCAGCTGCCGTGCCACAGGTCTTATAGAGTTTTCCAATGAATATATACGCCTACCGCCTCAGAAGCCTCCCAAGCAGAGCTGCAGCAGCAACGGCTGCTGCTGCAGCAGCAGCAGGTATTTCCGACGAGCCGCTA